CTCCAGATGGTTTCCAGTGTTTTACTTGAAAAAAAAAAAAAAAAAAAAAAAAAATCAGAAGGTCAGTCAAGAAGAAATTAAATTCACAGCTCTCCTAGGAGCCTAAGCCAAACATGCAGGCACCATTCACTGCTGCCTGATTTGAGGCAGCACAGTTTCAACAAGTGCAAGGTAAAGGATATGGAGGAATATTACTTCAGTAATACATACACAGTGTTAGATTATGAACGTATTGTTACAACCCAGGAAAGAGACCTTGGAGTCATTGTAAATAGTTCTCTAAAATCATCAGTTCAGTGCAAGCAATGACCAAAAAAAGCTAATAAAATGTTGGGAATCATTAAGAAGGAAATTGAAAACAAAACAGAAATCACCATCATTCCACTATACAAATCTATGGTGTGCCCACATCTTGAACTCTTTGTGCAGTTCTGGTCTCCACAGGTCAAAAAGGATGTAGTAGAATTGAACAGATTCAGAGGGGGTCAATCAAAGTGATAAGGGGGATGGAGCAGCTGCCATACGAAAAGAGACTAAAAAGGCTAGGGCAGCCTTCTTTCCTAGCTTGGAAAGAAGAAGGCTAAGGGGGTGGGGGAGACAGAGTTCTATAAAATCCTGAAAGGTGTAAACAAAGTGAATAGGGAACTGTTTTTCACAAAGTCCAAGAATACTACAACACAGGGACGACACTGTTACAGAGTGGGGTTGAGCAGCTGGGTAGCACCCAGTGCTGACCGCCAGACTCCTGCCTCCTTCAGTTTCTTGGGTCCTTCTTTCTCCCTCATGTGCCACGCTTTTGATGTTGTTTGAAAAGGAAAAGATTGAAAGGATGCCCAAGGCCCAGAGGGAAACAGCAGTCAAGTCTTTCTCTATCAGTGTCTCCTAACACCAGGTGCCTTAAGGGCTGCGTCCGTGACCTTCAGCCTCCCCTGCAGCCATGTCCATGCCTCATAGGTGTTGTTAATCATCTTCTTAATAAGCTCTTTGCCCCACTCACTGCTTGTCCCTTCAGGCGTCTGAGTCTTTGTAGGAGCCTTAGCCTTCCTGGCATCCACTCCTTTTATGTTGTTGGGCTGTTTTGCCTTAGGCCCACTGTCCAGGACCTCAGCTTCTGCACCCAGTCCTTCTCTCTCTCAGGTTCAGGTCAATTAGCCCCTCTGTGTCTTGGGTCCCTGCCCCCTGGGAGGCCTTACTGACATGCATCTCTGGCCTCCCCTGTTAATCACAACCCAGTCCAGCCGTTACAAACAACATAAAAGCAGGCTTTCACCTTAACTAAATCCTCCCTGAATGGGTGTTGCAGCAGGGAGCACTCTGGCAAGTGCAGCCAAGGTGGCAAAACTGCTGATTTAAGTCAGAACTGGAGAGACTCTTTAGTCTACTGGCTTTGCAAGTCATGATCAACCGAGGCGAACTAAGCTGACTGCTGGGTACACTACTTTTCCACCAGCTGGTTTGCAGCCTGGCTACTTGGTATATGGACAAGGTGTAAAGGGGAGGAGGAGCCCCGAGGACCAGCAACTGGAGACACTTGTGAGAGCAACCACAAATAACCAAAAATCTTCCCTCTTTACAAGATCAAGACATGGCAAGTGAGCTGGAGGGTGTGCCCTATGAATGAGTGAGCGAGCGAGTGAGCGTCAAACTGTCTGCCCCTAAGAGCTGGAACTCAAGAGGTGGGAGTACCTGGTCCTGGCAACAGAACTGAGTCAGTCACCGCCATCCACAGTGGGGTATTGTAAACTTCACACAAAGGAGCAAAAAGGTATGCTGTCGCTTTAACTAAAGATGAGCTGTATCTTTAAACAAGCAAGTCATCTTCCCTGTTTGGATAAACAAACCTCCAACCCGGGGCTCTAATCACCCTGCTCCCAAGAGTTCTGTCTCCAGCCTGGGTCTCCCAGGTGGTCACTCTCCCTCTGGAGGGCTTGACTTTCTGCAGGGTTTTCTTGGTGGCTGCTCCTTGCACAGACCTTGACTCCCTGGCCCCCTTCACCTCTGTAGTGTGCACTTCTCTAACCCCAGCTGTTACTATACTTGAGTCATGTGAGTCAGTACCTCTCATGTGTTTGCCCTTAGAGCTAATGAGCCATTTAGGCCTCCTTGCTGCTGCTTAACGTTTACGGTCTGCAGCCCTTATCTTGGCTGCTTGTTTGCTTACACAGTGGCCATTACAGCTGTGTTTCTCCCTTCTCAGTAACAGGACTCTCAGGCTCCCTGTTACAGGTAACCCACTGAAATTAATGCAAAACTGATTTAAATGCCTCCCGCGTTTGGTGTGTGGCCCACCCTCCCACCTGGGTGGTTGTACATTTCTTTACCTGTTACGGCCAGAAATTCTAGCTGCTGTCCCTCCTCTGGTGTGCTGTGATATCAATTTCCCCACAGAAGTGCTGTGGGGCAGGAGAGGGGGCTCTGCACCCTGCTCAGATTGTCCCGGGGGGGGAGGGGGGGGTGGCACAAATGCAGGCATTGGCCCCCAGGTGCCAGAGACCCACAGTATGCCACTGATCTACTCCCTCTAAAGCACCCACAAGATAGTGGGCTAGATAGACTATTGCTCTGACCTAGTACTGGGCTTCAAATGTTCTTATGTAGCCACCTAAATTCCCTAGGCACCTAAACTTCTGTCAGAGCTCTTGAAGTCTTGACAGCACTTAGCAGTGCATTGCTCATTCTCAAAATGGGTAACCCACTAATCTCACCTGCAAGCTCCAAACCAGTGGGTATTCCCACCAGGGAGACCAAAACTGAACCTGGAGCTCTCAGAAGCAGGGCGGTGAGAGCCCCCATTTGGGGGTTTGTTTATCCAGAGGGGGAAGAGGACTTTGTTTATTTAAAGATAGAGCTCATCTTTAGTTTGCTTGGCTGCCTGAGCAGGGACACTGTCATTAAAGTATGGATGGGGGTGTAAAGAGGAGGAGAAGCCCCATGGACCAGCAATTCAAGACACTTGTGAGACACTCTCACATAAATGAAGAGAAAATGCTATCCTCTTTTACCTAAAGTTCAGTGATTAGAGAACCTACCGGACTGATTTAGAGCTGGACTGATCTTCAATCTTTGAAAGTGCCCTAATCTTGGAGCCATTTTAGGGTGTATTTCTCTCAAATTTCCCTGTGGTAGGTGTTCTTTTTTGTAAATGTATTCAAATGATCATTGAATCAGAGATTAGAACTGGGGTGTAAGTGACTCAACTATCAGGCTATAATGTTATTTCATTCTTTGTACCCCAATGCATACTGAATTTTTTTTTAAGTTTAGTTTAGTTTAGTTTTTACAAAGTAGAAGAACTTTAACAAGAGAGAGTGGCTGACACCCCCTTCACAGTAGTCTCTGACCTGGTTGCTTCAGCACTCTTCAGAGATGAGAGACCTGGTCTCAAGTCCATGTTCCATAGCAAGAAAAGGAAGGGTTTGAATTTGCATTTGAAACCACTGTGCTACTGAACATAAGAATGTCAATTCCTCCGCTGCTTTTTTGCAAGATAAGGGGGGCATATGGGGCAGCAGCTCATCCCCTCTTCGTTCCCCTACTTCCCCTTCCCTTTCTCCCTACTCCAATCCTGCACACCTGGCTTCTATTCCCCTCTTTACCCCTTTTCCCTCCTCATCTCCACCCACCTGTTGCCTGGCTGTTCTCAGCTGTCAGTACAGGGCTGTAGAGTCCTGGATGATAACTAGTCCTCCTGGAAACAGTGCCTCCTAGGATACTGAAGGACTATAAATTGGTGATTTTATCTCAGGTGAGTACCCAGAAGTTAACTTAACTTAAGCTAGGTAGCCCAGCTCAAAGATAATCCTCGTTATCCTCATAAAGTGACATAACTTTAAAACACCTGAAGAGCACTTAGCACTAGTTAGAGTCTTAATGTGTGATCATTCAAGTTTTAAGTGCTCTTAACATGATCTAACTGTAATATTCAATCTCATCCTAAGTGTCTATATTAGGAGAAAAGGTCACATTTTAAATGTGTTCATTATCACATTTTAATTTATATGGATTTCAGCACAATTTGGGAACTATTGTAGCTAGGGATAAACACCTTCACAACAAAATAAGTGAGACTAGCTAATCCAACGCTTCAGTTCAAGGCTGACCACACCAAAAAACAATGCCAGTGAAGTAAGCAAGATGTACATTCCCCAGAATCTGATCCAATACCTTTTAATGTATTTGTCATTGCTAACTCTTCAAAAAATAATCTGCATTATTTACCATTTTTGATAAAACTAGAAGATATATTTTATCATGAAAAACCAACTCACCTGTTTTTTGTGTAAAAAATTCCATTTCAGTAATCGTGTTCGATGAACAGCATAAAAAATAGCACATGTCAAAACAAGCGACATAGCAAAAGCAATGAAGAAGCCTGAAACATGGATCCCATAACTGTACAAGATCTGAAAACCAAAGAAAGAAATAGTGAACCTTCATTTTATCAAATAGAAAAAAAATGAGATATAAAGATTACAGCTGTAAACTACATGGTAAGTTACTTTAAAAGCCTTTGTAAAAATATGGAATCACCCAGTACTAAGTTAACATTACCATGATTTTAACTAAATTTTTAAAAATTCTCTTTGTTTCTCCATAGATGTTTCTCTTTCAGAGGTACCATTATGTTCATCTGACCTCCTCCACAACACGCATTTTGGAATTCACTGAATTCAGGGTAACAAAGCAGAATTTGGACCCTTATATTTATTCTTGAGCCAAATACTGAAAATTTATCTCACTGAATAGTCATGTTAACTCCAGAATTTGGCTGTATAAGCCTTTACAGAGATGAAAGCAGCAGCTGCTGTTATCTGAATAACTGCGCAGTTGTGAGCTACATAATTAATAATCTCATTGCTTCCATGTTGCTATCAGAACATGCAAATTTTAGCTGTTTAATGTATTTCTAAAGTACGATTCAATTCACTAAGAAAAATAAAGAAAAATCCAACCCAGGAAACTGAAACAACCCATCTGAGGATGCTTAAATGGTTAAAATAGGCCATTATTTGCCACTTTAAGAGATGTAAAAAGCTGGTCCCATGGCTTAATTGACAGAATTGTGTATGAGAAGCTTTTGACTGACAATTGAGCTAATTGACAGAAGTGAATATTATTTTCAATCATACTTACTCTACAATAATGAAACATGCAGAGCAGGGAAGCTCACTTTACATAAATTAGTAGTGAATGAATTACATGGTAAATTATGTAAAAAGACAGACTACGTCCCAAATCTTTTTAAATGCCTGTCAATGTCTCCAAGTATTAAATGAAAAAAGAATACACACATTCAGTTATTCATTTCATTAATAATTAATAATATACTTAATGTCTAGCAGCTTTTTCTTGTCATTTAACGTCCATGAACAGCTAATTACCCACCCAAAACATCCCCCAGAAAACTCCTCCAAGCTATTCACAGATCTACCAATTTAGCTGTAGAAACTAAACTGAGGTACAAAGTGGCAAGCCCCATATAAAGGTTCTGAGGTCCAAGTGTTTAATTTATTTTAATACTGCCAAAGTACAGAAGTACCCTTAATATGTTTTTAGAGATACTACACTCCGATTGGCCTGAATACAAGCAGTACGAGCTGAATCTTTCAGCAAGCTGGCTATATGGATGCAATTTTTATCATTCTTCCCACAATGGAATATATGTGACAGAAGAACCTTCTGTTTATACTTTTCCCCACAAACAGGCTTTTATTTCAGCATTAAAATTTTTCAATAGGAAGCAGAGGCATGTAACTTTCACAGACCCTGATGAGCAGAGCTGCAAGGTATTTGCACTGTCACTAAGACAAGCAATACTCACATTTTTTTCTGGATCATAAAAATTACCATATTATAGACTGCCAAGCATTTTATTCCAGTGAAGCAAAAAAGAAAAAAAAATTGTGAATCCTTAAACAATAGCAGGCCAGTCAAGTAAGCAATCAAAACATTTGATGGTTGATGGTTCTATGAGACTAAATTAAAACACAGTATTATCATGACTACAGGATTAATGCTTTACTATTCTTGTCCTAAATGATATATTAATGGCCAGATAATATAACGCTTTTGGCATGATCATGCAAATGCACTGGAGCAACATCAAACACAAATAACTAGAATAGGAGCTTGGCAACAGCTACAGATAAACATGAAATGTAATACAAGTCACCACTCCGATGCGGGAAACAAAACTCATTTAGCAATTTTTGAGCTTTGTATATTTACAAACTAAACTAAACTAAAACAGTAGCATACAACACACACCTTTCCCTTAACTTGCCATCACAAATGTGCACGTAACAACTCACACATAGCTGAACAACTTTGTTAACAAATGGTTTGTTTTTCAGATCTCCCTGGGTGTGTCTACACGAGATACTATGCCGCTGTAGCAACACACTATGGTGACGGAGCACTACCAGGCAAATCGTGATGCCGCAGCTATGTCACCATAGCAATGGGTTCCCTTGCTATAGCACATTACTACAGTGACAAATGGGACCAGAGCAAGGCTTAACTGAGACCCTGTGGGTCAAACTTCAAGGAG